CCGCCGCGCTCCTTGAAGCCACCGCCACATGACGAGCGCCTCCCTTCCATGAGGCCCAAGGGCGGCAAGGCACATGGGCGGGGGAGGGAGCCAACGGCGAAAAGGAAGACACACATTTACTTTAGTATATTTGTGTACGATGGGCTATTTGTTCTCACTAGTGGATGAAGGGAAGGTATGGGGCATGAATCGGGGTTCGTTCCTCCATGCAGCTGCGGTGGTGCATCCGTACTGGCCCTTGGTGTTTTCCTCTGCATATGCTGAGGTCTCTATCCCACTATTTCTCTCTCTCTCTCTCTCCCTCTCCCTCTCTCCCGGTATCGGTGTTGCTGCACCGCTCGCATGCCTAGAAGTTCTCTCTGCATACACACACGTCCATCCACGCGTCAGAATGGAGGAGCGCCGCCACCGCCGCCCGCGTGAGCCGCCCTTCGTTGACGCCCCTGCCGATGGCGTTGGTGTCGATGCTGCAGCTTCAGCAGAAGCGGCTGACGGGGAGGCGTGGGGGATGGCCGGCGATCCCTCGGACGCGACAGAGGCCCATGTGACGGGGAGCGATGACGCTGAGCTGGCGTACGGCAGCGCATTCTACCTGCAGGAGAACTACATTCAGCGCTTGCGCCAACGACACGTCCGCCGCGGCTCTGCGGAACGCTGCGACGACAACAAAGACGATGACGGCAAGGAAGGCCATCGCGACGACGTCGGCGCCGACTTCAAACGGACAAAAGGGGCGCAGCACGATGAGGTGGATTTGGTCGTGAACACAGCACTACAGCCACATTTTTTTCGTCTGGGGAAAGACTTCCCGGCAGTGCCGGCCCCGGCGCCGCTCGATGATGCGGAGGCGGCCGACGCCTCCCTGGCTGTTGTTTCCGTGCAAGAGGCCAACGCCGACATCATCATGCCTGTTGTCAGCTCAACGTGCGGGCTGGCGCGGTGTGCCGCGAAGGGCAGCGCCGCACTGGCGCACGTGAAGCGGCAACAAGAGGTGGAGCGCGCCATGCGGGAAGCCATGGACACGAGTAAGTCGGACCTCACGCGACTGCTGAAGAAGGGGGATGATCTGCAGAAGGTGGATGTGCACCAGCAGCAAAAAAGCACCAGCGAGGGCTACTGGCCGAGCGCTGCGGAGGATGCAAACGACGTTGACGACGAGGCGGAGATGCTGCGCCGGAAAATACGCATAGAAACTGCGAGGCTAGAGAATTCTCTGCGAGCAGAAAAGTCGGGATCTGCTTCGGCCACCTCAATTCAGCAGGCGAATGAGGCTGAGGCGAAGGAAAAGGAAAAGGAAGAGCGGGCCCGCCAACATGCAAATGTGCTGCGGAAGCGGCAGGAGAAACTGGAACGCCTCGCGGAGGCAAAGCAGCGGCTGGCAGAGGACAGCAGTAACCTTGACGATTACACGGCGAGGCGTGCCGCACTATTGGTGGCGCAGCGGCAGTTGCCCATTCATCGTTGCAAGGAGGAGCTGCTGCGCTGTATCGGCGAGAATCCCATCACTATCGTCGTTGGTGAGACGGGCAGCGGCAAGACAACGCAGCTTGTGCAGTACCTGCATCAGCGCGGCTACACCCGGGGTGGTGGCATCATTGGCTGTACGCAGCCGCGGCGCCTCGCCGCGATTAGCGTAGCGCGCCGTGTGAGTGAGGAGATGGGCTGCGCGCTCGGCACGCGCGTCGGCTACGCGATCCACCTCGACGACCACACGACGGCGGAGACGGAGGTGAAGTTCATGACGGATGGTGTGCTGCTGCGCGAGATAGTGCGCGACCCCGACGTGGGCAAATACAGCCTCATTGTGCTGGACGAGGCGCACGAGCGCTCTGTCAACACGGATGTGCTGCTTGGCGTGCTGCACGCGGCGGTGCGGCGCCGCACGGACCTGAAGCTCGTCGTGACATCCGCGACGATGGATATTCAGAAGTTTTCGCGCTTTTTCGGCAACGCCCCCTTCTACGAGATCCCTGGTCAGACGTACGACGTTGACGTGCGCTACGCCTTGACGCCCGTCGACGACTACGTGGCGGAGGCGGTGTTCCGTGTGTGCCAGCTACACATGCAGATGCCGTTGCAGGGCAAGCACGACATCCTTGTCTTCATGACGGGCCGAGACGACGTGTTCGGCACGTGCGAGCTGATACGCCGGCGGTTGCAGGAGCTCGACCCGGTGTGGCTCGANACGCTGCTGGTGCTGCCGTGCCTCTCGGAGGCGGCGGATGCGTGCGCCACGAGCGTGCTGGACGCGGCTCCGCCGGGTGTGCGGAAGTGTGTCGTTGCAACTAACGTCGCCGAGACGTCTCTGACGATTGACGGCATCCGCTATGTGGTGGACTGCGGGTTCATGAAGACGAATGTGTTCCGGCCCAAGCTGGGCATGAATACGCTGCAACGATACCCCGTGTCGCAGGCGCAGGCGAACCAGCGCAAAGGGCGGGCAGGCCGTACAACGGAGGGTGTCTGCTTTCGCCTCTACACCGAAGCGCAGTTTGCACACGAGATGCTTGTGAGCAGTGTGCCGGAGATACAGCGCAGCAGCATTGACACCGTTGTGTTGCTGCTGAAAAGCATTGGTGTGTCGCGCCTCATTGACTTTGACTTCATCGACCCTCCACCAGCGGCGAACATACGGCGCAGTATGTGGCATCTGTGGGTACTTGGACTGTTGGATGACAACGGCGCCATTACAGATGACGGCAGACTCGCGTTGGAGTTCCCTCTCGCGCCCTCGCTGGCAAAGATGCTTGTCANAAGCGCATCGAGTGGCTGTGCGGTGGAGGCGGCACGCATTGTGTCCATGATCTCTGCCGACCCAAAGGGACTCTTTGAACTGCCTCAGGGACGCGAGGAGACGGCGCGGCAGTACCACGGTCGCTTCTACGCCAACGAGTCCGACCACCTTACGTTGCTACACGTGATGTCGCACTTCCTCGACAATGGCAAGTCGCGGCAGTGGGCGAAGGACCATTTCCTGCACCTCCCTACCCTTCTGCGTGCCACTGAGGTGCTGCAGCAGCTGCTGGAGCGGCTGCGTCAGCTGAAACTCCCTGTCGAGTCGTGTGGTGTTAAGGGCCTGGACCGCGTGCGGCAGTGCGTGGCAAGTGGGTTCTGTCTGCAGTCGGCACGCCGCTCGGGCACAAACTGGAGCGAGTATCGTCCAATGCTCAACGCAGGTGTGACGTGTTACATTCACCCCTCCTCAGCGGTGTGTGCGCGGGCAGAGATGCCGCTTTATGTGGTGTATCACGATCTTCTTCTTACCACAAGAGAGTACCTCGTGATGGTAACGGCGGTGGAGCGTGACTGGCTTGTCGGGGCGTCACGTGGGGTGTTTTGGGTCAAGGGAGCAGCGAGGGCCACGTCATCACTGCCGCCATCCTCCTCCTCCGCTTGCGAGTCACCCGCAACCGTACTGGCGGGAAGGAGTGGTCCTGCTGCTGCGCGCAGCGAAATGTCGCTTGGGGGAGTGCGCCAGCCTGCCGCAGCGCGGTCAAAGGGGTCACTACTCCCATCGAGACGACGACATAACATCTGATGATGTTCTGCTGATGGTTCTCCTTGTTTGTTTGCTTTTTTGTTTCGTTTTCTTTCCCCGCTGCACCTCGCAGCTGTGTCTGTATTGCTTCACGGGGACGGGTACCTTTCTGTCTCCCCTTTGCTTCTGTTGGCGAACCGGTAGCGGAGAGTAGGCAAGGCAAGCGAAGAAAGCAGCGGCGTTGGACAGTCTGCCAACACCCCGCAGCACCCGGCAAGACGAATCGGGCCCACTCAGCCCCCTGTTCCCAATAGCTCTACAGTGATCACGCCATCATCATCATCATCATCACCGCCAAATATGAACGCCCTGTGGAATGTCTTCGGTTCCTCGGAGCGAGTCAATTTGAAGCAGCTGTTCGACTACCCCGTGTTCATATGGCAGATCCCGTGTGGCAGCAGTTCGTTTGACAAGAAAGGGGGACTTAGCCTCAGCAAAAGCTCTGCAAGGAATGTCCGTGCAACGTGCCGCTTTCTGGATGACACGTACAGCCACCGCTATATGATCTTCAACTTCTCGCCGCTCATGGTGGATCTCGAGGAATCATGCCGGTTTGGCGAGCTGATGGACTACTCCAAGCAGCCTATTGAGGACTTCAGGTTGTTGATTGAGCTCTGCTTCACCATCATGAAGTGGACACTTGCTGGTGACGAATTCACCGAAGAGAACATCCACTGTGCTGTGCTTGTCTTCCTGGAGGAGAGCCCCTCCATTCCGTACCCGAATTACGCCGCCATGATTGCAACGTGCTACCACATATTCAATGGCTGTCAGTCTAGTGGTGGGCGCTACACGCTTGAGTTCGTGGAGGGGCAGCTGGGCATCCACCGAAGCAGGATTCACGCGGCGTCGCAGGAGTGCTACGTGAACTACTTCCAGCTCCTCCTCGATATACCCATGTTGCCGAGCACACGGCGACGGCGTCTGGTGCGGGTGTCGCTGCACAACATGGACTCCCTCAAGGGGATGCACCTGGGCCTGCGCGTTGAGAGCGAGGGCAAGATCATGCTCTTCAGTGATCCCACTGCGTGGGAGGAGGGGAGCCACGCCACCGCACAGCTCCTTTTGAATCCGCAGGTGTCCCTGTTCGGCGACTTTGCTATTTCTGTGCTGCAGTATGAGCTGCCTGTGCCGCCGCCACCCGGGCAGCCGGAGCCGCCACGGCCCGTCCACGTGCTCGCCCGGTGCGCGTTCAGCACCATCTTTATTCACAAGGAGACCCACCACGCCCGTGCGCGCGACATGGATTACGCCGCCCAGAGCAATCTGCCGGGCGATTCCTACATTCTGCTGCACTTCGAGGAGGTGCGCCCGGAGGTAGCGGACGGGGCCTACATTGAGCAGCTGACGCAGCGCATCGATCAGACGCCGAGGCACCAGATGTTCCTTCAGTGGCCCTGGCACTTGTCGGCACCTGACCGCCACCGCGACCGCTCCTGTTTTCGGGGAGGGAGTGTGGAACCCTCACCCTCACGCAGGCTTCCGGCTTTTGTTTCTCTACAGGGGGAGGAAGAGCGCCGATACCAGGACGATGACGAACTGGCATCCTCGCTCGACCTCTCACCGCAGGCACGGTACCACGATCCGTCCCCTAGTCCACCGAATGAGCCGCTGTCACCTCCCACCCCCTCCGTCGCTGGAGCGCCACGTCTGAGTAAGTCAGAGCGACGCCGCCAACGACGACGACGGCGTCAACAGAAGCGAGACCTGCAGAGTTCTCCAGGTATTTCTACGGATACGATCGCCACAAGTTTTCCGTCTAGGGAAAGAGTTCGTGCCTCTGCCTCCCTTAACGTCGCGTGGTAGTGCGGAGGCGGCTGGCGCCTCATTGGCTGTTGTTTCCGTGCAGGAAGCGAACACCAACATCATAACGCTTGTTGCTTATATTAATGTGCCGTCAAGTGCAGTGTGCCTTGAATGAGAAGTGCCTTGGTGGCATATGTGAGGAGACGGAAGATGATTTTGCATTAGCTAAAGACCGATGATGACGGGAGAGAGTTGCTGTGGTGCAAAAGAAAAAGAAACACCCAGAGCGGCTTTCAGAGTTGCGTGTGTAGTGGAATAAAGGCAAAGCGTGCAGCATATAGTTTTTTTCTTTGCGGTGCAGTGACTTGTAAGGGTGAAAAAAGAGTGCCGTTCTGTAAAAGCAGGAGTGGGCTCTTTTGCAAACTCAGCACAGTAACTGAGAGTGTAGCAACGATAGGTGCAATAAAAGACGACAACGACGCAAACAACGGCACCGTCATCACTGCCGCCATCCTCCTCCTCCGCTTGCGAGTCACCCGCAACCGTACTGGCGGGAAGGAGTGGTCCTGCTGCTGCGCGCAGC